CAATAAATAACAGTTAAAATGCACTAGAATGCAGTATTATACATACAGTTTTTTAAAAATTTTCCACACCCACCCCACCCCCTCGGGGGCTTTGCCCCCTCGTGTCCGCTTACTGCCCCCCCTGGCATTTTGCTCAGGCTACGGCCCTGAGCCCCCTCGAGAAAGAATAAAGCATGGGTCAGCAACCAGTCAGTTATCAAAGACCATGATATTTTTCAACACTTTAAACCCCTTTTCTGCTCCAGGGAACTTCTTCCTCTTCTCCCTAGATTCAAAAACTGGACTTCACTGTGAGCAAATACATCACAGAAATAGCAATTGCTAGAACAACTTGGTCATCTCATCGTGAAAAAATATGTAGCAAAATCAAGACTTAACATGTATTAAGACCAGAGATGGCATTTCAATTTCTTTCTTGCTGATAGGATTAAGAGGCATTATTATCATTGTTTTTCATCAACGATAGAAATAACTGTTGATATTTTCTCAGAATTTTAGACAAGTTCAGCTACTAGTATGCCTCAGTAAATACACATCATGGTTGTTTACAAATTAAATACCTGAATATAATATAGATGATTTTAACTTTGTCAGATATAAAAATTAAAGGGAAAGAATAAATCTTTAAAATCATCCAGATCGTCAATATATTATTTATTCTCTGAATTACATAACAAATTAAATGGCAAAAATGACCCAGTCAAAAAGATAAATATTTTACAATATAAGCGGGCCAGAATAGCCACTAGCATAAAAGATAGTAAATGAGGGTACTTCCAAAAAATCACAAAAAAAAATTCATGAAGTTTTATTTGTCTTTCTTGAAAAACAAATGTAAACAAAAGTCTCTGGTGACATTCATAATTCGTGTGACACATGTGCTTGCACGCATGCATGTAAGTGCAGGTGACGTAGTGTAACAGACATATTAAGTCTGTTTCTAAAATCCAAAATTATGTAAAACCAGAAAATGGTCTGTGTGTACTAGCTGTCTGATGGCAGGAGTTGGACCTATTTCCAATCTAAAAAGTACCTGTCTGAACACAAGCATTGTCAGCACATCTCAAGAGTGCAGCCATATTTTAAGGCAGTTTTTGGTGTGGTTTCACAAAAAAAAATTATAAAAGAAATAAAATTTAAAAAATTGAGACTGAAAATTGGTCTAAACTTCAAGATAAGATTTCTAGTCCACACTTACTCAGGATAAACCAACAGTAATCCCAGTAAAAAAAATTTTGTATCGATTAATAAAAAAGGGAAAATGTCTGACGTATGTCAAAGCTTCACTAAATTATTCTTTTAAATTGACTACTGAACTAAAGCTGATCAAAATTTTCAGTCTCAAGTTAGAGCCAACTTTCCGTCATAAGATCTTAGGTAAAACCTACCCCCTGGAACAAGTGGTCAAGCTATAAAAAAGACCATACGAAGCAACTGATAAATGACCATGGTCTGTTGTCCACCCTTATTTAAATTTATTCCCACTTTGTGCCACACACTAAGTGTTAAAAAGCGTCCCCCTTAACTGTCACTGAAACATCTCTCATAGAAAAGCTTCTTTTTTTTTTTACGAACAGAGATCTGCCTACACTGTGGCATCAATTATGTGGAGGACGGTTTCAGTACAATGTAAAGGTGCATTCAGATCAGCCAACTAACAGGTCTGTGAATCAAATATAGCCAACCCACTTTAAAGGGATAATAACTTTTCGTTTTGGTCAAAAAATGAATTTTTCCAGAGTAAACAACAATTTTCCCATACTTACCAATGATTAATGAATCCATTTTCACATTCAAAGTAAGTCCCTGGTTTTTTTCTAAAAAGTTTGGTTTTTTGTTAAAATCTCTTAAGAGATTTTAACAGAGTATAGCCATCAATGGAGGTCACGTGGTCTAAAGACAAGCTCAGATATCAGAAAAAGTAGCTATAACTGCCATTTTTGTGGTAAAACAGAATATATTACATTTCTATGAGTTATTCACAATGTTTTTATTGTGTAATATAGATCTCATACAAAGAGTTATTATCCCTTTAATGCTCGTTGCATAATCCCTGCATGGAATCCATTCAGTGTATAATAGGGAATTTAAGCGACAAGCTTTTTTAGTGGGTCACAATATTTGACCCAAAGATATGTTATTCTGCTGTTCTGAATTCCCTCTAAGACCCCATTTCCAGAGATTAGATCGATCTACTTTAGATCGACCTAACTCCCTGGGGGTTCACGCTAAATAGCTGTCAGCCGAGCGGACACGAAAGTTAATTACCCCCTTACAGTTTGTAGTGGGCGGGACGGACATTTAAGCCGGATTATCTGACAGTAATCTAGTGAGATCTAGTGAGTAATCGGGGATAGATCGATCTAAGAGCTCTGGGAATACAGCCTAACAGTCATATGGCTGTCTTAAGACGTTCTCATGGACCTAAACCAATTCTGGATTTAATCTTTTCTGGCTAAATACCTATATGGTNCGGGGATAGATCGATCTAAGAGCTCTGGGAATACAGCCTAACAGTCATATGGCTGTCTTAAGACGTTCTCATGGACCTAAACCAATTCTGGATTTAATCTTTTCTGGCTAAATACCTATATGGTTTAGGCTTACACTGTGGGGCTACTTCAGAAATATGAAATACAAGATCAAAATGACCAAGTTGGCGGACACACAGGCATGTTTTTGTTATCAATTTTGTTATCAAAGGGGTCTTCCTTATTGCTTATAGGCATTTCCGTTGGTCAGTTACAGACATTAATGAAATTGTTAGTTTTTTTTAGGATGACTAAATTTGGAAGTTTAAGCCTGGGGGATCATGTTCTTTATGACTAAGAGACAAAGGAAGTGACAGTAGTTCAAGCTCCTAAAACATGGTGTCTCTAAACTGGACTACTAGGGATCGATACTTAAGATCTGATGGTAAAGATTATTACTAGTAGCTTTGACTCAAAAGGAAATGAAAGAAAAACATATTTCGGACAAAACGTTAGTTCCTTACTTTGTTGACAATTAAAAGCTGTCTTCAAGCAAACCTTAAAGATGCATTTGAAGTTAATTTTCGCCACAAAAGCCAACCAAATGTCACTTTAAGGTTTCAAATAGTATAACTTAACAGGAATACCAAAAGACATAATTTTGTTTTACCCAGAAAATGATAACTAAATGGATTTTTCTGCTTGCACTCTGTGCTGTATATAAACAAGGCAGATAAGTGGGTCAGGTAAATAGGTCAAATCCCCAAATTTAAAACCAACAATTTGAAGAAGGACCAGTTTATAGCTCTTTTACGGCTGAATGAGAGATCAATTCGGTTTATCCCTTGGCATGTCAACTTTATTTGAGTTGTATAAAAAAACTAATAGAAGTGGTTTATATGAGTGACGGGGCACAAACTATTCACCAGGGCTCAGTGCAAATGTACCTTTAACTAATTCAACTTCAATAAACTGCTAATCATTACCATGTAAGGCATTTTTATAATACAACAAAAGTTCAGTTTATCTTCAAATATGTTTTTTTTTTTCTTTTTTTTTCTTTCTTTTTTTTTTTTGTCAGATACTTCTACTGGAATAATTGTTCAACCATACAGAATTGTAAAACCACATGGAAATTTCACTCTCTCTCTCTCTCTCTCCCCTTATGTGTGTGTGTGTGTGTGTGTGTGAGTGTGTGTGTGTGTGTGTATGTGTGTGCATGCGTGCATTGGAGTATGGGGAAGGAGAGCTGCAAACAATCTCAGGTTAAGATTATCAATAGCCTTAGAGTAACAAGAAACCAACTAGTTAAATATAACTTAAATACTGGCTGAAATATATATAATTCCAATGCATTAAACCAACATGAAATTATCCACTGAGAACGGTTTTTTTTTTTTTTTTTCAATGTTTTTCAATATTTATCTCATAATGCCAAATATTTACTTAAACATGTATGTCATTATGTTCACTAGGTTTTAAATGAACGTATTTTCAAAATCAACTTTTGATTTTGTAGCCCATAATTGCCTTCTATTATTATTGTGAGCCTCCTTGTTCAATCCCAAATTTCAAGAGATAATTTTCTTTACCACAGCTACAATCAAAACATTATTTCCAAGCCATATATTACAGATAAATAATAAGACTTAAAGTATTTTTAATTCAAAATATACTGCCATTATGCTTTTAAGGGCAATCAATATTCAGTGTATTCCTGCTTAATAACAGTGGAAATAAACAATTAAGTACTGTTATTTTAATGAGCATGCAGGCTAAATCGAGAAAAACAATGCATTAAAATCTCAATTAACATACTGGCCAAATAAATTGTTGTCAGTCACACTCAAAAGATTTAATGAGAAGGTGAATGAATAAATGTCCAGTCCAAATTGACCACAGAGAGAGGACAATAGATAAATTAAAAGCTCAATTATAGCTGTTATAATGTATAAAGATATATATACTCAACTATACATCAAGAAAAAGACAAATACTCTCTAGTCTCATATTATTTGAATCATACGTGTCTTCAAAACTACACTCACACTCAATAATTGTGTCATCCATTTATTGACATTAATTCTCTGACAGTATATTTGTGTTAATTATCATCATTTTTAAGTGATAGGTAAATAAACAAAAAAAGGCAATTGGTTAAGATCAGTATAAAGGGGTAAGGTTAAAATTAAAGCCACTTCTGAACTAGCTGACCCTCATGGTCAGCTTCGGCCATTTTTGTAATGGTCAGTTGAACACGTCTTGTGCGCCATTTGTCGAGAAGCGAGTCCCCGGTCGACTCAGTCCCAAACAAGGTGATACCATTTCGTTTCTTGTACGTTACACTGATAGATGTAATTACATAATCTAGTCTGCGTCAGGCTCAAGTAATTTAGACAGCCACGGAGACCACAATGCCAGGAAACAAGCAGTTATGACTCCTTACATAACACTGTACACAACACAGGTCATTTCAAGATGGCGACCGGTCACTTGGCCGCAATGACCACTGCAAAATAAAGCTCTTACCGTAGTCTTGTGCATCGCTGCCATCGCGATAGGGATTCATCGGAGGAAGAAAAGTGTTCGGATCTTGGCCGGAGTAGTCGAAATACCCCGATTCGGTCATCGTAAGCGGTGGAGATTTTGCAGGCTTTTCACTGACCCTTCGCCCCCGTGTAAATAGATTGTTTAGCAAGCTTGTGCAGCAACTACGCAACTGGGTCGGTTCATTTTTTAGGGCTGACGGGTTGAGCTGTCGACTATAATGACATAACTTAACACCTTTCTGTTTCAGATCTCTACTAATGTAGTTATTGAATTTCAATAAAGGAAAAAATAGTATTAGAATCAATAACATATTACAGACATTTAGGTCGTATTGAAAAGGAATGTAGAGGTGTCACCCCTTGGAAAAATCCAGCGACCCTATTACGACGCAGAGTGACCAATCAACCTGTTTACTCGCCATAATGATTATTCAATATTATCCACCCAAGACGTAATATTTCTGTAGTGACTAGACTTTCACGTAACTCTAGGAAATGTGGTAACACTTTAGCGCTGAGACTTCTTAGCCGGTTGAAATCGATATTTCACAAAGAATTTCACAGCCGCGGTAAAAATGGATCAAGTGCTCGTAAGATGACGTAATACAGTCGGCGTGACCTGAAACCACGCCTTCCATCCAACACGGCTAGACAATCGTTTTTATTTAGTTTTCTAAATTATTGTTTATTTTTTAACATGTCTTTTATTGCGGCATGGCATTTAAAAAACTACATAAATAGAAATTTAGTGCATAACCAGCTTCGTAAAAGTGTATTATAATACAATAGGTGGCATTATTTAGACCTAGAAAGTTTTTTAATTTGTTGCGAATGGCTTAATTCACTCTTCAGTGAAAAGAATTTGTCAAAATGTTTGCTGAACTTTACACGGTGCAGGCAACTATACCTCTTTTTACGTGGAGCGGTACATAGATTAAAGGGATAATAACTCTTCGTATGGGATCTATATTTCACAATAAAAACATTGTGAATAACTCATAGAAATATAATATATTCTGTTTTACCACAAAAACGGCAGTTATAGCTATTATTCTGATATCTGAGCTTGTCTTTAGACCACGTGATCTCCATTGATGGCTACAGTCTGTTAAAATCTCTTAAAAGATTTTAACAAAAAACCAAACTTTTCAGAAAAAAACCAGGGACTAACTTTGAATGTAAAAATGGATTCATTAACCATTGGTAAGTATGGGAAAATTGTTGTTTACTCCAGGAAAATTCATTTTTTGGCTGAAACGAAGAGTTATTATCCCTTTAAATCTTAGACCCTGTGTATGATGGTTCCAAGATAAAAAGTAACCCATATGGGTTTGAAAATCCCCAAAATTTTTGCTATCCACAGCTTCTTAGACCCCATTTCCAGAGATTAGATCGATCTACTTTAGATCGACCTAACTTCCTGGGGGTTCACGCTAAATAGCTGTCAGCCGGGCGGACACGAAAGTTAATTACCCCCTTACAGCTTGTAGTAGGCGGGACGGACATTTAAGCCGGATTATCTGACAGTAATCTAGTGAGACTCCCCGCGGGGATAGATCGATCTAAAAGCTCTGAGAATACAGCCTAAGGCACAGCTTCCTAACATACACCTAATTTTTTTTTTTTCTGGGGCGTATCTGATGTTGATATTTTCATTGGAGCTCATAGGAAAATGGTCGCTGTTATAATGACTGGTCAGTCATTTTAGGCTAAAATCGCCTTTTATAAATGTTATCAAAGTTCCTACTCAAGTGCAGAGAGGGATAGGTAGATGATTCGTGAGTACGAGAAAAATTGCTTATTTTCCCGCGAAAATCCATTTTGGCGGGTAAATCTGGCGTAGTGTACCGGGTACCTTTAAATGGACCGGTCCCGGTAGACAGGTCTCCCTTTCTCTATTTGGCTTCCTATACTCACGTCAAGAACTTAATTAATTAATTGGCCGTGTCCTCTCGTGTAATGCTAGGCCTATGAATTAACTGTCTATCTCCCAAAATGGACCTGTCCAGTTAAATTTTAATGAAAAATGAAATTTTAACTCAAAGGTGTACCGCTCGAAGTGATATGGGCCCTTTAGACACTGTTGTCGTTGGTTTTGGGCCTCCAGGTAACAATCAACACTGCAATAGCTCCACCCACCGCCTATTGTGTTTGACACAGCCTTACACAAGGATTCTCATACCCGTCATACCAGAAATTTAACACTTATTTAAGACAAAAGAATTAAAGAGGAATTACATTTAAAGCAGGAACTGCAATAAAGCGTCGACGCCCTGTAGTTCTCTCTCTCTCTCTATCTCTCAAACTGCGAGCACACGATCAATTGAACAGCATGGTATATATATTTTTAACTCTACACGTGGTGAAGCCTATCAAAACGAAATCTATATCAACAGTGGCACACTGGAAATAAGCTTATTCTGCTAAAACACAGTTTTCGTTCCTGCCGCATCATGTGACAACCGCGTGCACTCTACCCCTAGGACTATAGGCTAGGTCATTTTGACCGAGATAACGGTCAACGTTTTATACATGGCATGGAGATATTTGTGACAGTACGGCTACATCGGCCTTTAATTGTTGCAATGGATAGTTTGCGTTTGTTGTTGCTGCACAAATACCATGGGAATGGTTATCACGCTGAAAATTTCAATAGTTTTACAATGAACGAAGCGATTCCTCGCAAAAAGGGTGTTGAATCTTGCCAAAGGTATTGAACGGTATGGGTTACTTCAAAATACGTGTCAATTAATTAAGTAAAAACAGGAACATTTGAGGCTGATGTCATGATATCATTTTTGGCCACTATTTTGCAATAAACAGTTTTTGCGATTTGGGAATCGAAATAAAAGAAATATATTTTCTATAAAACCTGGATTTAGAAAACCACACAATGCCAGCTGTATGTTATTCATGTCACTTCGACTTTTTTGTTTGAAAAAAAATGTTGCTTCTTGTAGGTCTTAAATCATCTTTTTACGTGTACTTCTACGCAATTGAACGAAGTAAAACACAGTAGATGGTCAAAACATAGTGCCTTAAAAGATACGTTTCAATTTTCATGTGAAAAAAACATTTTGGACAGCCCGTTAAACCGAAGAAACGCTGACTTTATTGGTGGAGATGCAATTTGCAAGCCAGCTTTAAAAAATTTGAAAAAATTATCTTAAATGTCTCAAGACAGCCCTCACCCCCACCCCACCACCACCTCCCACTGAGCAAAATTTTAGAATCTCCAGATTTTAGATTCCAAGAGGTTGGCACCTCTGCTTTCCTGTAGTTCTTTAGTGACTCTAGACCATGCTCAGCTGTGTGGATGTATGACGGCGTCCTCTCTATCGCATTTTGTGCTGCTTGGGCGACATCATTTCTATCTGCCAAACTCCCAACAGGGTTGAACACCCAAGACGAAAGTACATTGAGTTATTCGCAATTGATAGCCCTTACATTTTGTCTCTTTCACACACCGTACACTTAAAATAACATGTGAAACGAGTAACAACATACCTTAAAATAACTATCTTTGTCCCAAATGTGTCCATGAAAAATAGCACGATTTGGTGAGCCTTTCGATGCACAGTAAAATCGGGCATAAGTAAGCTCAGCAACTGTGCTATTTTTCATAGGCACATAAAAAAAAGAAAAAGAAAACCAGTATATGTACTTACTCAGTTCACACATTAGGTGTATTTTCTGTAAGAAAGGTGCAGTGCCAGAATCTGTTATTTTATCTTGGAAAAGGGAGAAGGTGGAACTTGCTCTCCCCCCCCCCCCCCCCCCCCCCCCCC